ATATGTAAAGTGAACAGAAAAGGTTTGAAATTAAAGTAGAAAAAAGCAGTTAAGAGAAGGAGAAATGAATGAATATCCATGAACTGTTAGATATTTAGAGGGTGATAAGAAATGTACTCAACGTCATGACTGTGATCGATTCTGGGCTATATCTCCAAAATTTTCCAACCATTCATTCCTATGAACTCGACGGCCATGGTCAGATAGCCAACATCTCCCTATTAGGCTCACAACAACAATCGGAAACTTCAAGATTCGGTGCTACGTCTTGGTTTGACCAACCTAAATCTTCTTTTGGTCCAATTATACATCGGTTGGCATTTCTTGTTAAGGTGGGCAAAGGCTTAGCATTCGCGAAATATCCGAACCCCCTTGGTTCAGCAAGGTCAAAACTTCAAGCTGATATCATACCCATGAAGAAAACTTTCTGGAGGCTGCTATAAACGCGCATCAGGTTAAATTGTCAAATCAACTATCTCCATAAGAGATATTTGTGAACACCTTGGGATTTGCTATTGGAACTGCATTGTATGCGTTAGTGAATTTCACGTCTTGTAATTTTACTGCTTTAGACTGCCTCAGCACTACAGAAACGAACAAATTAGAACATCAGACAAACTATCAGGACTAACCTTCATATACTGACAACAAGACAGTTGTAACAATGACGCAAATCACTTTGATAAAAGAATAGAAAGTCTAATATTACTACCAGTTTGATCGAAATCAGTCAAAGAAAAAGGTATTTAAACGAAGTAGAGTTGAACTCCACTCAGTAACCATGTACACGTTCGCCCAGGTGTGTGAGGGCTAATAATACTACCTGGCTGCCCAAACCTTGGTAAGTGGAGCGGTGCTCGAACTCACTACCCACTGGGTGAAAACTAATTGCCTAACCCAATGAACCACAACTCTACTTTTCACTTTATCTAAACTGCAGTCAGTGGGTGCATAATCAGATATTACAGAGAGATAATGGCAAGTTTCACTATTCTTTTTCATTCCCTATGTGTCGTCCAGTCAAACAGCGGACAGGCAACTGTTAACTGGGATCCAGTTGAGCAATGCACTTTCTCACATTGCGCTCGATGCTATACATACACCTAAGAGACCACGAAAACAAGTCATTGAATGTAGAGACACTTTAAGGATGAATTTCACAGACTTACCACACTGGCAAGCTGAGGATAAGTGAACAACCACGGTTGGGTCCTGTTTGCGTATCTCACAAACACAGTACACGTGAGTGGCCTCAGATGCAGGAGTTTCAACCAGAAAAGCTTGTTGGCCGATTTGATGGAGGATGATGACATTGAAACCTATTATATATACTTTGGTACACTGTTTCAGGAGACCATAAATGCTGTTGCGTAAGCCCGAATAGTTATCAAGAACCACTGAGTTGGAAGAAATTAAAGATGATGTTGAAATGTTAGTCAAGAGACGCGAATGAACATTAAGGGGTAAATGTGTGGAAGTTTGACGATATGAGAGAAACCTGTGTCGACAGATTTGTGAGGGTGCTTTGCACTTCTCAGCTGTCTACGCTGTGGAAGATTTGGGTTGGGTAACAGAGATGTTTAGAAACATTGTTTGAAGATAGTTCATAATAAGTCTCCTCGTACGTAAATGTTCTGTACAGAAAGTAAAGCAGTCATTTCGGAAATCTTGACTAGAATATTAATAGTTTAGAATATGAAGATGACATAGTCTTGTTAGATGAAGATACCGACAAGATACAGAGTTTTCAGGACACATTGGGTGGCAATTTGGAAATGTTTAAGATGTGTTTCTTACCACCCAGATCCAAACTGTTGTCCCTGGACAGATCTTCAATGGCGCCACGGTTAACAGTAGAGAGCGAAGTGGTTGAGTGCGTTGTAAACCACTTATCTTAGAAGCCGGATCAGCTCTATTGGGTCAGTGGTCGACAAAACCTCTACACAGATACAAAAGGCCCGATTGGCTTTTGTCAGCTTGCGCCACCTGTGGCACCGCCGTGATAACCGATTGTGTGTTAAGGGTCGCGTGTACTGCACAGCAGTCCGTTCTGTTCTACTGTATGACTGTGAACCATGGCTATTAGAGGTATAAGACATGAGAAGGCTTTAGGTGTTTGACCACCGTTGCATTCGTAGCAAGGTAGTATTTTGTGGAGTCACCACGTGAGTAATGCAGAAGTTGGGCGTAAAGTTTTAGGGAGGAGAGGTCAGTTAGTTGATACAGTTGTGAACCTTTATCGACCGAAATGGCAGAGGCACGTGCTACGCATGCCTAGGCATCATCTACCTCTGCATAATGTTGACCAAAGTAGGTTCAAGCTGGAAAAAGGCTCGGAGCTGCCAGACTAAAACATGGCATGGATGCATGAATTCATTGACTGGTGGTTTGAGCCGTGTGAGATGTAGACTAGCCGGTTGGGGTCTGCGAGACAACAGAAACCAACGATATGGCTCAGAAACGATGTCACTGGCGCATATGTATACACACATTATCCTCATCCTAAATGCCATACTTAATCGCGTCAGTTCCTCACTCCCCCTGCCTCTCTTTAAGTAACTTTTACTTCTTTTCACCAATTTTTCTCTCTTTCTTCACCTCTCGTTTCATTGGCTTGCTACTTGGTGTACTGATATGAGGTATGACAACTTAGACCGTTACGCAGTAATGCTTGGTCCTTTGTTGATTCTGATGATGATGAGTTTAGGTGCACTACTGAGAGTAAAGCATACCTTATATATACCGATACCTTGATGAATAAGCTGAACACTAAAGGATAAATACAAGGTCATAGATGTAACTCATCGAGAGATGATTTCTGCGTGAAGATGGTTCACAAAATAGCGAACAATGAAGCTTTACCTGTCAGCATCGTCATGCAACCGTTTAACTAGCCCCAAGATTTTGATTCATTCTCATTCTCATCCCTTATAAATTCAATTTCGTCAACCTGAATACTTGCTAATATCAGATACTAACTGTGTAACGCTAATGCTTGTGAATTGGGCAGAGATTTCAGTGCAAGTGCTTTACATGTCGCACTTAGAAAGACAGCTTAATGATAAGCTTAAAACTAGAGTCGCTGAAGCTACTAGCGACAAAAAAGATCGTCTTCCAGATAAAAATAAGGGGTCACAAGAATGTGTATATCAACGTGCTTTCAACAGGCAGTTCATTCAAAATCCAAGACAATAATATCTCACTTGGAAGGTTATTAGTTGAGAAACTAAGAACGTAGAAACTGAAAATATCAGTCTAAAGTCTTATAAAAATTTTACGATATATGAGAGGCTTTAATAAACTGGATCTTACTGAAATTACGACACTTTGTAATGGATATTGGAGAGCTATAAACAGCAATAAAATTAAATTTTCAATTTTCTAATCACAGAAGCTCTGAGTTTCTGCTTTAACCAAAATTATTCTCTCACTAAAACAACGAATATTTCAAAACCTGCTAACAGTTTGTAAAACGTGAAGGGGTTGGGAAGGATAGAAATCGTCAAAAGGACGAAAAAGAACTTGCTGTGAAGTACAATATCTCCCGTAAAATTTTCCACATGATAAATATACTTATTTTAATGTTGAATTTAACTACCTACCCAACTGTATCCTTAGTATAATCAATCAACTTATTGGTGATCTGACTTTAGGTAATGGTGCTGAAAACTCTTATCAATATGCAATAAACATCATGTATTACTTTAATTTATTCTATATCAGAATAGAGATATCAAACCCATCTGACGGATTATTACTTAGTAACTCCGCCTCGATTCGAGAGGAATAACTTCACCGACTCAAAGAAAACCCAAGTCTTGTGTGATATTAGCACGTAACGAAACAGCAGAAATTTGACGCAAAATACTCAACACTACAGGAATTCTGGTAGCAACTAAACCAAAAACTCACTCATAGGGAAAACCGTTATGTCACAAAATCTGAGGCATTCAATTAAATCAAGCAAACTGATCTACTAAATACTAATGATTGCGTTATCAACAGCATAGGTCAAAGGAGCAGTTGGTCAGGATATCGGGAAACAACAACTTAAGGATTTATAGAATGACAGACTAATAAGACAAGTTATCCAGAGTAAATTCCGGTTATGCTAATGTATGCACTAACTCATAACGGCACCATAACAGTTCTAAAACGCAATATATGTAGGTAAAAGAAAAAGACTGATTATTAGTTTCAGACATTTGAAAATGTCTACTGCCATTAAAAGTAAAAAGACGAGGAGCTACTGGACTATGAAAAAGGACGCTGAGGTGTCATTACTTTGGTAAGATAATCAGCAATAATTTGTGCCGGAAAGGTGACTCAGTAAAGGGGCATATTAGTGCGCAACATACAATGAACTAATACAATGTGGGACCTAACTTTAACATCACCCAAGTTTTATTGCAACATAAATGCTGTTGATCACCCTCTCTACAATAGTAAATTTCTTGCCTCTCGATGCATAGTTTTAATCTTGGTATCCCGTGGCCAAGACTTAGCCAGTCGGCGAAGCTGACAAGGGCATTATAATTATCCTAATAAGTTCGTAAAAGAATCCGAACTACTTACTTTGTTAATAGTTGCGTGACACTTTTCTACATACAAGAGACCAATCTTGGTAGTTTCAAGAAAAAACCAATCCGTTTCACTTCGAAATGAGGGCTTAGAAATACTTTCGCAAACAGCAATATATCTGCTGCTATGATGTTAGCTTTTCCTTGACTGCAGCACTGATAGCTGATTTTTATATTTGGACATAGTTTTTCATAAAGTAATGCAATCTCAGAAGCATCTGCTCTTCTACCGAGCAAACATTTCTGGGCAAGATTTAGTGTTTGCAATACTGCCAATAGTGACGGTTAGTAAGATTTACTAATCCACCATCCTTATTACTGAAGCCTATTATTATAACCCAATATAATCAACGCTATAGTATTGAGTATATTTGGCCTCATTACAGGGATAGGACGCAATTTCAGGCTTTTTTTACTTACCCATATTTGCAATTTAACCCTTTTGTCTTGTCTAAATATTGTTTTCACTTTGAAGTCGATACCGACGGTTGAAACAAAAGCTGATGTGAAGCTATCGTCAGCATATCGAAAGAGGAAAGATGTTTTCCCGACTGAAGAATTGCCAATAATAAGCAGCTTAAACATGTAATCAAAGTTTTGGTCAGCCGCATCTCTAGCTTGACTCATTTCTATGTTAACTTGATGATGTATAAATAATACTATAAATTGGAACGGAACACGAACAACGCGCTTTTCACGCAGTTATAATGTATGAATAATGTCATGCTGTAAAACAAAGATTCTTAACGGGCAAGATTTAAGTACGTACGTGAAGTGATAAAAATGCAATAGGAACTTATCAAAGAATATCCCAGTGTTTATGAGTAGTATCTTATGAGCTAATGCAGTTTTTATAGCAAATGAAAGAAATCATATCATTGTGACCATAAGTATATCTTTGGAAGTGAACTTAGCAGATACTGCGATCAACTTCAACAATTCAGCTACCTAAGATACCGACACAGTGTAGTTTAGCCAACAACTAATTAGGCTGGGTGAATGTTGACTTGATAAATGCCAGACTGTTAACCTAGCCCAATGCATGCCGTAATAGATGGCAATCTTGCAGTATCTACGATAGACTGTTTTTGATCTTCTGAGAAAAGTGAGTGTTTCATTTTCCTAGCATGAGAAGGCTAAGATGCTACAACTGTGAACGGAACGATGTTCAGATCTATCACTGCACAACCCATAGTCAAGCGACTGAGAAACTTGCTTCACTTCATTAATTAGTTTAAACGGATACGTGTAAATGACAGCCTCGAGTAAAATAGCAATGGAGCTATTAGCTACGGGTCTCCACCCCTGCCACTTTAGTTTTACGAGCTCGCTTGAACTTACGTAAGCCAGTATCTATGGTAGATTATAAGAGGGGGAACTGTCTGGACTTCGTTTTCTAAAGCCAGCTCGGTGCGATAGGCAGACAGCTAGCAGGAACTGCATACCAAGCGGATATCCCCAAAGCATGACAGCCAAATACAGATTACCAAGCTTGCTATACTCTGCTATATATTCTGTAATCATACACATTGTATCTCACTTTTGTGCAAAAGGGGAGGTTGCTTCCTCCCATACCGTAGCAATTCGTTGTTATTTTGGGTTACAGTAAGTCTTCTTTTCTATTCAGCTGGTGTTGATCGCGTTTATCTACTTAGTTTGACCTTTTCCGATTGTTTATCAGCCTACATGCTTGCCCAGTTGCTTGGTAACTCCCCTCCTCTGAATCGTTGTCTGTTTGACAATATCTCCATAGATCAGAAATTATCGGTCTGGTTGTATGTAACTTACCAGCTATCTCGATACGTTATTTTGTTTGCGTGTAGTTAATGACTGTCCGTGAAATCGAACGGTGTGACTTAATCCCAAAAGCCCATCAAGCAATGCACCTTTCTGATTTCAGTATGTTAGATTTTAATTCATGTAATAACATCTGGGTGTGGCAGCTGATAACTCCCCTAAGTCGATGGCCGGGGGTTAGACGAGTTTCAACACTTATGCTAACGTTCATGACTTTTATGGTCTGGCTGAGCTGATGGCACACGGTCAAGCATTCACGCCATTTAAGAAGTTGGAGTACTATGCAAAGCTTTTCGTACAAGATCCTCGAGGCAGTTGATCGAAGTACATCGTTATTTTTGTATGTTTTATCAAATGTACTATTCCAACTTGGCCACGCCGTCGTTTTCCTTTTATTCCTCCCGCCCGCGGATATTTTACGATCACGAAGAACCAGCAGTTGGCCTCTTCGTCTGTGGAATTCTCGTACGGACGATTTCTAACGAGGCAACTTGTTATGAGTCATGCCAAGCACATGAAGCAGGGGATTCTGATCTTCAATCTCACTCGGTAATCCACACGGTCAGTTTGATATTTTACGGTCATGTGACTGACCAATCGGGTCAGTTTTCAGGAACCACAACTTCTACAATGGCAGTACACCAACAGCCGTCAGCTTACCCTTTTCATGGGAACACTTCATCGAACGAGATGATTATAAGATGATTAAAAGCTATTAAAACTGAATACTGATAGCCTTGATTCCATCTCACCTTGATCAGTGGATAACTGCGGAATCACCAGTGGATAGAAAGCATGTACATTTACCCTCCCGATTCCATGCGATGTCCTCTCAAGGTTGGTCGGTCCATTCAAATTTCGAACATGTTATTAGTCTGTTTGGAGCTGTCTTCCCATTTTGTAGGTGGCAATAGAAGACAGTTTGCAAGCCTTGAATGAAAGTTCGAAATTTATTTCAACCCTGAGTTTGCGTTGGCATGATCTGCGACAATAATCTGCTATCAGGATAGGAAAGCGCAACACGGAGGTTTGAGAAGTGGCGTTGGTCACTTGAGAATTTGGGAAAAGAACATGAATAGCAAGACTGCGCAAAAAAGACACGGAAAACGGGCAGCTACCCAGTTTGTTGGCTTGCTGATAAATTACCTGATATGATATGACATGACATGACATTTTTCCTAAGACCTCTGCTACATTCAGCTGTCTCTCAGGTGGGGCTAGTTTTCGTTGGTTCCCACCTGCAAGATACTAAGCTTAAGTAAACTTATCAGTGCATCATTTCCTCCTTTATTATGGTTCCTAATAAGTAGCAAATTCATCTGCCTTCTGTGGTATCAAAAACAACCTGCTTTTCAACATCAAGGAGAGATAACCTTTCACAATACCCCTCCCTAGGCAACCCCACGAAGCTGCTTTCCCTATATATATAGCCTACCACATCCAAGTGTGCCTTCACAGATTATCGCCGAGTGTAAAACTGTTCGTTTGCCCTTTCCGGACAGCTTGAAGGTACAAACATTCGGCAAATATGTGGTAAAATAGGTCCTTGAGACCACAGGTATCACAGTTCGCAGGAAGATGAATTATTCAGCAAGGAAAAGAAAACACACTTACAAAACAATGAGCCCACAAAGAACGGAGAATATGCACCATAAATCCATGATTGAAGCAGAGGTAAAAGTGATAGTTTTTACTTATAATACTGAGAAATTATGGAAGGAATTCTTTATGGAGTGGCCTAAATCGAAGTAAACGTTTTAGGTCATCAGCCGCTAAAATAGAAATCTTTAACTTCAGTTTTTGTCTCATGCGGCTGTGGTTGTGAAAAGCCTCACCGGTGCAGTTTTATCCTACAGGTGGTCAATCAAAGTAAGCAGTTGACGTTTTACCTGGTGAGTTTATGCTTCCATGAAGTCTGTATACAAATGACGTCTTTATCGAACGAAGCGTCTTGGTTACGGTCGCGGCTTGGCCTTTGTCTTCTGATATTTTAGTGGGCCAGCGAAGCACACGGTTCTAAGAAAGAGCAGGCACTATTCACATCCAACTCAAGCCCTTAACTGCCATGTTGCCGTCTATCTACTTCTTACTATTCTCTTGGTCGCCACTTATCCTATCCTCAAAGATTTTAGGTGGTACGAACGGTGGCCGAATAATTCTCAATTTCGAACGGGACTTGTTTTATTCCACAGAACAATGATGTTTGCTTAAACAATTTTATTCTTTGTTGTCTGCGAAACGGTTACATACCACCTTTAAGCTGATCTTTTTCGCGCCTTAAATCACGATTTCTAATGTATTGAGTGTTACTAATCGTGACAATGAATTCATATTACCGAAATGACCATGCCTGTAAACTGAGTTGTTTTCATGCAACCTATGTTGTATGAAATATATTCCATTACTGTCATTTAGCGGATGGGCACGTTTTGAGCCGCCGATGGATTTCTATGTTCCTCTGCCAAACCATGCTGGACACTGTCCAGTGAAACGATGATGGGGTTGGGGAACCGTTCCACTGGGGTGGTTAAGTTTATAAACGTACGTAGATGTGGCCAGACTTCGAAGCTTGTACTTCATCTGCATTAACACCATGCGGCCAGCAGTTAGTTTCAAATATAATGTGTAGGGAAGGAAAGCACTTTCTAACAGATTTCTGAGTTTCAATGCCAGTGCTTCTTCAACCGCCCCTCCTTCGAAAGCAAAACTTAGATATGAATCTTCACTCGATACAATGTAGCGACTAAAATTCAATCATTCTGATGCAAACGCGGGAAATAACTCAGCGGTAGCAAACTAACGCCATCCAGACAAACCCTTGCATTGCACTATATAGTTCCCGAACTTCCTTGGGTGATGCACAGTCGGAGATTGGATCAACGAAATCGAAAACGCGGCCTGTAGTTAATCGGTGATAGGTCCATAACAACTCTGTGGTGCTATAAAACGAACAATAAGTTGTATCAAAATTACAAAAATACCTCAGCGGTGCCATTGGCTGGTTATAGTCCAAACGTTCTCGGGCACAACTACACACTATACGGTGGGAATTGGTTAAACAAATATAGTTGTTAAGTACCTGAGAGCCACCAAGAATATGCCCGGCAAAATGGGATCAAAAACTCGGTCTACCAAAATCAAATCAACAAATGAAGGTTTCCAGTGGCCACTCAACGGATGAGCGTCAAATCACTGCACAACCTTAGGCTGGGCCAAAACAAAATGTCAGGAGCAGCAAAACAACTTTTTATCAACAGCCCAGCGTCACACAGTAGTACGGTGAAGCATTCACGATAAGCCTCAATCGAACAAAGACAAATAACGAGTTTAAGGTAAAAGAAGACAGCTAAATGTCAGAATAACACTGCATCGGCCAGGGTCAGGGGGGCAATATCCGTAACGAGGGTAAAACTATTCAAACAAATGTCAGTACTGTCAAATAAGATGGTCAGTAAGGACTTCCAGCCCATTTTTTCCGTTACAACAATCTGATGGCGGTTTTCTCAGGGCGTTTTGTTTTTGTGATTATCTCCCTTGTTGTTAACCCCGTAGTTTATATGCCAGATCTCATCTAACATTATCGGTATCAAATATGTCGAATAATTTATGGGTGTCATTGTAAAGCCTGACGAGCATTCTCTGGAACTACGTACTCGCCTTGAACTCCTCTCTCTAATTATCATGGCGAGAATAAGTTGCTGTCCCTGCTAACCAGTCACTTTGGGTTTTGGTTCTATTCAACGGTAATTTCTCGAAATATGTCCATTCTGCTTTGTCCCTAAGGAAGTGAAGCCTCCATTCATTGGTCGTGGGAAAACAACCAGTTTCAT